AATGTTTCTTTAGTTGCATGTAGTAATGCTATAGGCCAGATGATTCCACCCATGATATTGTTTAAAGAAAAGTGGCTTATATGCCACTTATAAAAAGTTAGCGATCCTAAATCATATGTCTAAATTATAATTAGTTTTATGAATAATCTGTTATATACCTGCCATAGATGGGCCTTATTTGGTACACTTACTTTACTACAAATGAAAGGGGAAGTTATTTTCTATTATGTATTATCTTCAAAAGCGGGTATAGAAAATATAGAATATATTAAGATTGCATAGACTGCGCCGCTGCTTATATGCCACTGTGTAGCGGAATTTGCAACCAAACAATGCAAATCCCTCAATAATCAGCCAGAACGCTGAAATAGGGTTTCACAGTATAGTATATTATACAACTAGTGTGGAAGGTGATACATTTCACACGAGCGAGAATGTTGTTGAACGTGGCGATAGCCGAGTGAGAAAATCTCACGAGATTTGTGATTACTCTTTATTTTCTGCACGTGTGTGGAAAATGTTCACCACACATGTTGCGCATGGTTTTTTCCCCACATGTGTGAAAATATTTCTGCGTATGTTTGAAATTCAGTAGTTTATAAACAACGAAAGAATGCAAATTTTGTTATTTTCGGGTGATGTGGTCGTGAAAAAGAATATCAGCTTCTTGAAACAAAAACTACTGATATTCGTAAATACATTAACATATTAATATATTAATTCGATTTTAAATGAAACAGGTTCAATAATGGCAAATTATTCAATTCAGTTTAATCGTTCATAAGATGTTGAGAGTTTTTGAATTTGTTTATTTCCATATTCTCCAACATTTCTTCGTGAAATGGAGAGGTTTGTATTCATGGTTGAACTTATGTCCCTCTGAAATTAAATGACTGGCATATGAGGAATTTATTTTTCCCTTCTGAAAACTATATATATACTCCTTTATGCGGACTTTGAACGTTCTTCCAGTTTGACCTATATAAAACATCAGACATGAGCCACACGATAAATTATACACCCCTGATTTTTCAGAAACTGAACTTTTATTGGATTTGAAAGCAATATTTACATCTTTGTTGTGCAGAAAATCCGAAATATTTGTAGTGGGTTGGCCTAAGTAGGTTAAGGTTCTATAACCTCTTCTCTTCGAATTGGGTAGACTTCGTATGTTATGCGCATATTTTAAATTTGGGGACAAGAGATTTTACAAAAATACAGTGAGGAAATAACTGGAGATCTATATTTGCTATCAACAATAAAAAAAAACATCGTCTTGGAAATAAGTTAAAAAAATTAGGGGCCTCGATATGAAAAAGTCTATAAACATTATTTATGATAACACAGAAAATGTCAAAACTTGGAAGCCCACAGACACGGGTCGATAAAAGACCGAGTTTGTTAATATCTGAACACTTTCAAGACAATTTCCATAACATTAGAAGGTGAAGCATATTGCTCACTTTCTATGATGATAATTGTTAAAAATATGCTCCTGGATATGCTAGAACAATGTGCCATTGAACTCGATAATAATCCAAGTAGAAATGAGACTGGTAAAAAATTAATTTACAATATTCAAGCGGCTAAAGATGAAATCATCAAAAATTACTAAAGAACCAACTGGATGTACTGTGTTGTATTAATATTAGATCCCCGGCATAAAGTGAAAACATTCTACAATACAAGTTGGGTAAAGACTTGGAAAAGGAGTAGCTAAACACTTTCAGGAAATAAAAAAAAATCAGCCAGGTCTACAGAGCACAACATCATCATCTTCATCTCCAAAGGATATATACAGTGAGTTTGACATCTATCTCCTGAGTTTATTCAAGAAATCTCCTGTGAATCAAGCAAATGAAATGGCTTTGCGTTATGAAATAGACGAATTTTTGTCTGAACCACGTGGTAACAGTTCTGAAAATATATAGATTAGGCGACAAATCCATAAGATGCCTCATGTGCCTTAAATCCAGAGTGGAAAATAATGAAATTAAACAGTGCAATATTAAGAAACAATTTTTTTAATATTTTGTATTTTATAGCAATTCAATTTGTACTTTCATTTTAATAGAGTTTATATTTTTGTTTCTTTCGCAACGTTCATTCTCATTATTTTCATCACTTATAAAACTAAAAATCAAGTAGCTTGACAGAAATACTTGATTTTTCAAGTACTTAATAAATAAATACTTGACATTCAAGTCAAGTCAAGTAGCTTGAATATTATCAAGCCGTGAATCTCTGATTCCTAATAAATCAATAAGCAATGAAATCTCTTTTGTAGAATTATTTCTGATGATTATGAGGATATTCAATAATTTTTGTGTCCGTCATTCTTCACGTTATAAACATTGAGACTCCTGAACGAACTGTATTCCGGCAATTGTATCGCCAACAGCAGGTAAACCTTCAGTGAAGAATTCTGCGCCCTCATTTTTCGGATATAATCCAATGACCTTCGTGGTATCAGCCAGGGGAGTAGTTGTTTTCTAATAGGTGTCAGTCCATCAATATACAGTTTAGGTAAGTTGAGACTGGCCTAAACGAATTTTTATTTCAAATGATTTTATTTACAGCCAGTCTTCAAGTATGTCCACTCGCTTTATCTGAAGTACTTTTTCTTATACGAGGAATGGAGCAAATTTGGATATGAGGTTGGTTATCTCGTTCATCTGCAGATGGGGCGATGTCAGACATATTGTTTGTCGTTCCCATCAGCCTAGTTCGAAGAATGATACTCTGAAAGGAATTTGATTTTCAAATATAGGAAACCATCGACTTCATGTTGATAATAGACACTACCTTGTACTGACGAGTGGCCAAACAGCTCGAAACCAGTCTGTAATTGTCTTTCAATAATTGAAAATCAATTCCAGCAGTTGTATCGCCAACAGCATATGCAGGACTTACTTCTGTGAAGAATTCTGCACTGACACCTGTTTTAAAAAAATATGTTTTTCCGTTAACCAGCTGTCGCCCCTATATGAACGACAACTCTCAGAAGTTGAGAAACTTGTGCTAGCTAAGGACTAACGATGTCTTACCATTTAACGTGTGATTCCTAACACGGTTGCAGAATCGTTCCAGCTTCAACCAGATAAATTCTCTCGAGAAAAATATCTGGTCGAGGCGGGAATCGAAACTTTCAATAATTGAAAATCAATTCCAGCAGTTGTATCGCCAACAGCATATGCAGGACTTACTTATGTGAAGAATTCTGCACTGACACCTGTTTTAAAAAAATATGTTTTTCCGTTAATCAGCTGTCGCTCCTATACGAACGACAACTCTCAGAAGTTGAGAAACTTGTGCTAGCTAAGGACTAACGATGTGTTACCATTTAACGTGTGATTCCTAACACGGTTGCAGAATCATCCCAGTTTCAACCAGATAAATTCTCTCGATAAAAATATCTGGTCGAGGCGGGAATCGAACCTTCCGATCGTGAGTCGGGCGCACTACCACCGCGAATATAATCCAACGTCCTTCGTGGTTTTAGTCGGGGGAGTAGTTGTTTTCTGATAGGTGTCAGTCTATTAACCTACAATGTGAGTAAGACTGGCCTGAACTAATTGTTCTTTTAGATAATTTGATCTATTTACTCATCTATAATTCATTTCACTATAATATTTCATTTTCTGCTGAAACAACTCAATGTTGACAATAATATTATTTCCTGAAACAATTCGTGTTATGAGCTTTTCAAAAAAAAATCACATATTGAATGAAATTTTGAGTGTTTCATTTAGAAAATCATTATAAAACGGTCGAGTTTTCATTCACCTAGTATTAGAAAAAAAAATGTCTTCAAATTATCATTCAATTATGAAAAACAACATCTTCAAAAAATCTCCAAAAAAACTAATACGGATATTGATATATCTCATTCCATTTAAAAAACACTAACTTTGATACACCATAGGTACTTTTACTAGACACCCTGGATATTGAAGAACATTTCGAAAAAGCCTATCAAATTAATATCTGAATCTTTCATAAGGAACATTATTCCATTTAAAAAACACTAACTTTGATACACCATAGGTACTTCTACCAGACACCCTGGATATTGAAGAACATTTCGAAAAAGCCTATCAAATTAATATCTGAATCTTTCATAAGGAACATTTTTGATAACTTCGCTGGTTCGTCTCAAGCTCCAATTGAAGTTCGATGTGACAGTCACTGTATACCGAAAACTGAAATCATTGTTGTTTTGGATCCGTCGATATATTCTCCAGTCATCAAAATAACTTGTTAATATTTTAGTGACTGTAGAAGTTTGAAGTATTTTGACTGTCGGGGCAAAAGTTCCTGTTGGATATATAAGAGCCTTACTACTAACTAGCGAAATAGAAACAGCAGATATCATATCAAAGAAAAAATGAAAATATGATAATGATTTTTCGTTTAATATCAAGAATAAAAATAATATAGCTCTTTGCGAGATGTGCATGAAAAATAAAGTAAAGTTACTTTTCGCTCGACTTCTCTTTTCTTCTCTTGTCTGGCTTCTACCAATACGATTTTTTAAGAAAATAAACTCATTTGAGACAAGACAAGACGAGACAAGAGATACGAAATTCTTGTCCTGGCACAACACTATAGCTGAAAAAAAAAATCAAACTTTTTCAATGAGATGAAAGTAATGTTAAAACAAATCTTAGAATATATTTTGCGAGTCACGGTTTCAACGAGGTCTCACATTTCAACGTGCTATTACTAGCAGGGTTGAATGATACGCAGTGAAAATCGATCGTCCGGCCGTAGAGCTCAAACCAGCGTTCCATATAACGGTCGAATAAGAATAAATAAATAGAACGAATCACTTACGCTTTCCTAACCGGTTACCGTCACACTATATATAAAGCCTTGTTTAAATTTATTTATGGTCAATTGAAAAAAATAATATTATCAAAACTTGATTATTGATAGTGAAAAAGAAAGATAAATTGAAATGAATACATTATATTCCAATATTTTTTTTGTTGCAGATATATACCGACTGGGCCAACCACTATCTGGAAAAATCACGAAGTAAAAAGCGGGTTAGTTCGTTAGCAACTGACTGTAGTGACGGTGTTCTTCTGGCAGAGGTCATCGAGTCTGTCAGTAAGTTCTGATTTTGAAATACGATTTTAGAGACGTTAATAATATGATCACTAGTGAATTATATTTTAGATTCACAGACTTACTGCTATAAACTGTTATGTAATGTCTTTTTTCAGTAGAAATAGCCCAGGGCCGCTGATAATTATCTAATAAGTACCTAAAGCATGTTTTTTGGTAACTACCTGCAGATGATATTATGTTTGAGTTAAGGCAAATTCCGAAATTAAGAAATATGTGGACGAACGAATATGAAAAATGTAGCATTTATCAGTTTTTGTGGGCTCTTCAGACAGAAAATATTTTTAAATCGATATTCATTGTAAAATACTCCACAATGTTTTCTACTATGATATCAAAGAAAAAAATATCGATGTATTAATTACAACTCATTAGTTTCCAAAATAAAAATGGAAAGTGCGCTGAAACCAGAATTAAACATTTAATCTACTGCTTCCTCCCTAATACGATACTGTGCTAATTGAGCCATCAAAACCTTTTTCTAACTTTTACATGTATTTGAATAAATATCACAAAAATCTTTTTGAATGGAAATTTCAATATAAAATAACAATAAAAATAGTATACACTTATTGATTGTTCATCATTGGACATCAGCAATAGTATTTTTGACACAGAATCCAGATGCAAAATTTGTCATTGTGCTGATGATGTTCTGGATGCTATAAGAAAAAAAAAATATTCAAAATTTCAGAAACCATTTGCAATATTTCAGTGATGTTTGGTAAACAGTGACAATTGATGAAAGTTTATGTTTTTCAATAAAACTTCAACAGTGGCAGGGTTACGCGAATTGACTTCGATATTTTTGAAGAAAAAAAAATGATACTCCTTTGGATTTTCATCAAATGAAATTTAAAAAAAAATCTGTTTAAAATCTGTTTTTCCGATAACTCTCAGAAGTCGAAACTTATGCGAGCAAAGAACTAACGAGGTCTTACCTTTTAACGTGTGATTCCTAACACGGAATTCATTTTGAAAATCTTACTTNAATTCACATTGTTATTTTATAGGAAACCTGATCGCGAAATATTTCAGTGCTATCGATCCCTATAAAAATTCATCAAGTCAAGTAGCTTGATATTTTAACAAACTACTTGAGTTGACTTGAAAATCTAACTCGTAACAATTTACATACTTGACTTGATTGGAGATATTTATTACTTGACTTGAAATCAAGCTACTTGATATTACTTGATCTTGATACGCACGACCTCCGAGCTGACTGAATCAATCGCGCAGTTTTGCTTATTATGCATACATACACGCCCTAGGTGAATGATAGTTTTGTCCAAGTGTGTGACTTGTTACATTACAAAATTACATAAGAGTTTAAACCTGTGCTCTGCAGAAAAAAATGAGTAATTCATCGAAAATAATGGAATAAGAGACTAGCGAGTCAAAATATGTGTTAGAGGAAAATACTTCTCCATCCGAAGATCATGAACTTATGCAAGAGCCGACACACAAAAAATCAGACTAATGGAAAGAAAAAAGACACGGATTATTTCACCCTTGAACAAGATCCGAGTAGTACGAAAAATACTATTAAGCATGGAAAATGCACGCTTTGCACAACGAAACCCTTCTGGAACATCTGCATTGAGAAGGTATTTGCAATTCAAACATACTAAAATCTGTGAACACACTTTTGGGGAAATTAGAACATTCGACTTCCCGTGCAAGTTCCTCTGCAAGCACGAATACCAGTAAGAAAAGTACGATTTTGAGTTGGCTAAGTGGCAGTGACAGTAAGGTAGTTGAGCTAAATAAAGTCCGGCTCCTAATAAGGCCCACTTTCCGTTAATATTTAAGTTTACCTTATAACTATATTTTACAGTACGTCCTTAATAGATAACCCCCATCTAGCGACAAAGAGTCGCATTTAACAATCACAACATGCAACGTTGCGAATGAATAAAGCACGTACAAGAGAAAAGTCAGATTAAAGAACATCTATGAAATAAAAGTAAATTCAGGCAGTCAGTTTTAAACGCTACAATATTTTAGATAGTATTACTCACCAAAATATCGTTTCAGAAAAATAAAAAGAATCCTTCACAAAAAGATGCCAAAAAAAGAGGTCTGTGGACTGAAGATCAGAGGAGAGAAGCTTTACAAGCAATTGAAAATGGAATGTCAGTAAGAACATCAGCCAAAGAATTCAAAATTCCTCGTCGAACATTGCGAAGTCATGTACCTCAGAAATGGAAAGCCGGGGAAGAAAATTGGACGGCCTTCATTTTTATTATCGGAGGAAGAATCTGAATTATGCAGACGAATTTTTAGGCTAGCCAACGTTGGAATTCCGCTTACCTTGAAAGTAATCAGACGATCTGTTCACGAATATTGTCAGAGGAACAATATTGCTACACTATTTTCCACCAAAGGCCTAGCTGGACGTAAATGGCTCAAGCTCTTCTTATGTCGTCACCCCGATGTTGCGAAAAGTAAGTCATTATTTGACAAACACCATTGCACACTATCAAACAGGTTTGCCAAACACACCGTCAATCAAAATTTCCATCAAACAGGTCAAACATTTACATTGTTTGACAAACACGTCAAACAAGCTCGCACACTTTCAAAAAATTTGACAAACACGTTTGTCAAACGAATATTTGACAAATAATTTGATCGTTTACAGGGCCCTTAACAGATACGAAGACGATTGAATGTTAGGAAAGGTAACTGTCATCGAGAACAATACAATAATCGAAGAAAATTTACGGGGACTCTTGCCCTTCTCGAGTTATACGGGGAAAATCAAAAATGATGTTTGTCGTGTTTTTCGAATGGAATTGATATTTCGGAGAATATCCAAACATGGAAAAAAGGAAGTGTACTATGACGGTGTATCAATAAATATTCGATAAAACTTTTCGTGTTAACATGGCCACCACCAACTTTTTGTTTAAATACGGCCCTTTTTTTAATTACAGATATTGATATAGCGATGAATTCACAATTCAAAAGTATATCACATTTGATATTTTTATAGCGTTTCATTTGAAATAACTACCATCATCAGTGACAACAATTTTAAATAACGGTCCTGTCGTTACATCTTTTGTAAATTGTTTTGATTTCTTCAATCCCCAGTACAATAAAAAAATACTATTTCGTTTTGGAAATTTTTGTATTACCGTCCTCCCTAATCAATTATAATTCGTAATATTTTTATAATTCTCAATCCTGAAAGTAACGAAAATATCAGTTTTTGGTCAAAATTCGATTGGTGTATAATTTGGTATGATCATATAGTTTGGTATGATATCAATTCATTTATCATCTTAAACGCAGAGGCTTTGCTTGGTTTCTATGGCTGGAAAAATGAATGCGTTGTTGATATCTGTTGAGAACTGTCAGACATTTATGAACATATCAAAGATGTATTCAAATGATGAAAGAACTGATATACTATTCAGTTATTCAGTTATGCGAAATCAAATAGAAATTCTTTTTTGGCAAGGAATATGTATGTTAAGCTATAACCGAATCGTCATATTCCGAACATCCAAATGTTTAGACGATAAGAAAGAAATTTGAGGGACTATGGTGCATTTGACAGAAAGAAAACAAACAAGAAAATGTGTGGTTACTGGAAGTGTGAGGAATTAAATAAATGTTATGAGTAAGCAAATATTACAACAGAAAAATTTCCACAGTGAAAACTTTTTTTTTAATTTAGGATTGGCCAGTTACAAAAATTATGCTAATCAAGATTGTTCTTCACGAGAAATTGCCCACGAAATGACGATTTCTGTAAAATCTACCAGAAATATTTTGAAAAAGAATAAATATAAATGCTACAGGATACGCAAAGTTCATCACCGCAATGAAAGGGATTATGGAAGGAGAGTACGATTTGCGTGGTTAAGACGTACAAATAGGGGTGTTGGAAATATTTGTGAAAAAATAATATGGACGGACTTATCAAAATTCAACAACAATGGTTGGTTTAACAGAAATATCCAGTATAGGTGGAATTATAATAGGTGGAAAACCGATTTCCAACAAAGGTTCGGACTGAATGTTTGGTTGGGAATTGTGGAAACAATCATCATTGGCCCTTTCTTTTACGATGATCATTTGAATAGTGAAATTTATCTTCATTTTATATTTAATGAATTCGACTGTATGGACCGACAACTTATGTGCATTCAACAAAGATGTCGTCAGTTCGAGCATTTAATGTAGATTGCCATGTAGCTTTGATTTTCCGTATTGGCTTCATTTTTCCCAAAAGTTCAAATGAAACGCTATAGAAATATCGAATGAGGTATATCCTTGGATTGTGAATTTGTCGCTTCATCAATATCTGAAATAAAAAAGACAGGTCCGTATTAAAAAAAAGTTGATGGTGGCCATATTTTCACGAAACGTTTTATCGAATATTTAATATGACATCGTCATAGTACACTTCGAATACACTATCATTTTCCTTTTTCATTTTTTGATATTCTCCGAAATAACAATTTCATTCGAAGATAACAAAAAACAACATTTCTGGTTTTTCCCGTATAACTCGAGAGGGGTGGGAGTCCCCATACATTTTCTTCGACTATTGTATTGTTCCCGATGACAGTTACCTTTTTTCCTATTCAATTGTCTTAGTCTTAGTCTGTTACGGTTTAAAATATAGCAATATTACTACATGATAAAAGAAACAGCCTGTATTTAGCAATTTATCATTATTGTTTTATTAATATTCGCATATCATTAAGGAACACCCTGTATATGAATCAGCGGGTATTATTCATTTTTCAGTACATAATTCAGAATTTGTTGCTATTTTCAAAATTATTTTCAAAAGCACACAAGTTTTTGTGGTAACAATACTTATAGTCATATAAGTTTTGACTGAAATCATTTTGATGTCAACAAATGACCCAGATTTCGATAAATATTCATTTCACAATTAGAATCTTCTCTATTCACATCACACAATCAAAAACCTACCCACTGCCTCATGACTATTC